CCATCGTTAGTGACACAGGAGCTCCAGTCACAGACTCTCACAGACCTTGGCTCCTCCATCCTTTCCTACCTCAATCAGTCACGCAGGGGATAAAGGGCACGCCGCCCTCCTGCGTGTTGCCTTGATGTCTAATGACACTTTCTGTCCTTTACAATCACGAGTCTTCTCTCTGAACCTTGACTTTCCTGCCTTCATCAGCTGTTCAAAGAGGGTTTCACGGTGCCATTTCCACACATGCACACGACACATCCTTACCCACACCACGTCTTTTCTTGGACACTGGCTGCGTGGTTTTCTTCTTGGACACTGGCTGTGTGGTTTTCTTCTTAGACACTGGCTGTGTGGTTTTCTTCCTGGACACTGGCTGCGTGGTTTTCTTCCTGGACACTGGCTGCGTGGTTTTCTTCCTGGACACTGGCTGCGTGGTTTTCTTCCTGGACACTGGCTGCATGGTTTTCTTCTTGCTCCATTTTCGTACATGGGGTTGTCTCCTCACCATTCCCAATTCTTGTTCTTGTTCCTACCCTTGCCATTCGCCCAGTCAGAACAAGCCACCCGTGTCTTCCATCGACATCACCCTGAGAAACTTCTGCAGAAAGGGTGCAGGGAAGACACCCACAGTGTTTGGCATAGGGGAAGCGACTGTTTTCCATCTTAGTGTTGCTGTGTAGACACGAATTCTGGCCCAAAGCAGCTCTCACGGGGGCGGGGCAGGCTCCCGAAGGCCCTCTGCACTGGCAGCGCTCCCCTCTGGATGAGGGCCGGGGCCCGTACGTGCGGACTCACCTGCAGACGCTTCCCTTGCTGTCTGGGCGTCACTGCCTCCAGGGCCTCCTCGAGGGGGCGTCTGCATCCCGCTTTTCTGCCGAGGCTCTGTGGCTTGGAGGCCTCCCCCAGACAAGGGCTTGGCCATGGGACTGGCTGTGACTCCCAGAAAGAGGGGAAGGGACCACGTTCAGGTCAGAGCCTGGCTCCCCCAGGACCTCCACCATAGGAAGAGTACGCCCTGGTCAAGCAGTCGCTGGAGGAAGATGAGGAGGCCCTCAGAGGCCCTCAGCCTCCACCCCGCCTGCACTCACAGCCTGGCAGGAGGCCGTCCACCTGCTGGCTGCAGAGTCTGAGCTGGCCAGCACCCCCAGTCCTCCCGCCCAGCTGCAGTCTGTCTTCCCAAGCTACCTTAAATCTCCCTGGCACCACTTTAATGCACATTTTCCAAAACTGAAGATCAGCAGCGCAGAGGAAGTGGCAGACAAGGCGGACACCTGGCAAGCAGCACCATTATCTCCTGTACTGTACCTGAAGACAAGAGGCCCACGGCAGCGGGCCTTCCTTCCGGATAAAGCCCAGTCCCTGACATGCCCATCAGCACCACGGCGAGGCCATCAAGAGAACCTGAGCAAAACCTTCTCTCCTTGAGTCTGTGGCTATGGGAAGAGCCGCCCATCCCTACGCAGAGGCTCCAGCTAAGCAGACCAGAGCCTCCCTGCAGCTCCAGGGCCTACCCTGCCCCTCTGGCATGGCATGTCGCTCCAGAGTCATACCCTTGCCGGGCGCCAGCGGCTCACGTCCATAATCCCAGTTACTCAAGAGGCTGAGATCTGACCGCTACACTTCAAGGTAAGCCTGGGTAGGAAAGTCTGTGAAACTCTTATCTCCCATTAACCACCAAAAAAGCAAGAAGTGGAGTTGTGGCTGGATTAACAGAGTGCCCGCCTTGAGCAAAAAAACTCAGAAACAATGCCTACGCCCTGATTTTAAGCCTCAGAACAAACAAACAAAAAAAAAAAAAAACAGTAGCACGCCCTGGAGGAAAAGTGGCAGCAGGCAAGCTTCCACAAAACTCATCGTGTGGGTAACACCTCGAAGACAATGCTACAGAAAGCCAACTGCCCTCAGCAGGAGAACTGGGCAACCCGGCGCTCTCGAGAGACATAACACACTGCACTGGGTTCTTCCAACAGCAGGAGATGCCACTAAAAGCAGCCTAGGAATAATCTATAAGACCCCCAGTGCCAGGCATGCATATGGCCTAAGAAGGACCCTTCAAGGCAGCCTGGCAGACAGGCCTGCGTAAAGACAGCACAGGCTCTGGAGTAGAGAAAGTGCAAGGGCACCTGTCTAGCCCAAGGCAGTCACAGCATGGAGCAAGCAACACAGGGCCCAAGGCCCAAGGCCTGAGCCAGAGCAGATCAGCGCTGCACTTCCACCCAGGTCCCGGTCACTGGGACGATCTTGGCCTTGGGGCTGTCTCCTGGGTCTCAGGAGTGCAGTGTCACATGGAGCTCTGTGAAGGAGACATCTGCAGAAGAGGGCCACTCCGGAAGCAAGTCCCCTCCCCTAAAGTCTGAGTGACTGATCGTGTCCAGCAATGTCTCCTCCTACTTGCTTCAGTTTAATGGTTGAATTCCTAAGCCCAATAGTAAGAGAGCACTTCAGCAAATAGCTGCCAAAACTATGTCAAAAGAGAAATCGTAATATGTAAGTACTGCTGAAGACAGGAGAAAGATGAAAGAGAATCAGCATGGTTTTCAGGAACAGACACGACCAGCCCAAGTCCCTAACAGCACCAAGAGCAGAAGCTACTCGACCGGGGCGGACACTGCCTGCCTTAGCTCCTGAAAACAGCTCTCACTTAAAAACTGAAAAGAAACTAGACACTGGCGGCTCACACCTGTCATCGCTGCTACTCCGGAGGCTGAGACCTAAGAATCGTGGTTCAAAGCCAGCTTGGGCAGGAAGCTACATGAGACTCTTATAGGGAATACTGTTCAAGTGGTAGAGCACTAGCACGGAAGAAAAAGCGAAGGGACAGCCTCCAGGCCCGTCCTCCACACAGGCACGGACACACACACACACACACACACACACACACACACACACACGAGAGAGAAACTCAGCACAAAAACGTTCTGCTGTTTGTCATCTTGTTTATTCAGGGTTTGGTTTTTCTGAGGGTGCTAAGAAATTAACTCAGGGTTCTTCTGCTTGACAATACTCTAAACCTTGAGCTGTGTTCCAGCCTTGTGTGCTTCAGTTACTTTTCAGCCAGAGTCATGCATTCTGCCCAGGGCCAAACTCAGAACCACAACCCCCCTACCTACAGTTCCTGGTGTGTCTGAGACTTTAAGTGGGAACTGCCACACGGGTTGTTTTGTTGAGACTGAGTCTCACTAGCATGGATGCCACCCTGGTACTTCAGACAGAAATCTCCCTGCCTGTGCCTGGCAGGCAGCTGGCAATTACATAGACTGCACCACGCTCAGCCTAAACATATATTCTTCAAAGTCTCACTTACCTAACAGAATTTCTAATGTATCGCTGGCTTTCCCACTTTTGTTTGGCTTCTTGGTGGACAAGCAACGTGGGCCGCCTGGCCGCCTGTGGCTGATGGTGAGTCTGGTCAGACACTCAGCATCATGACTGCTCTGGTCACCTTTCTGTGTCTTGTCAGGACACAAGTCCTCATCCATGTGACTGAACTGTTTTCACACATGGGAGGTGTGCACAACAGAGAGAAGCAGAGCGGACAGAAGACCCACTCCCCTGTCGTCCGTGGCGAGTGGTGGGCGTGGCACCGGGCCGGAGGGCCAGCACACGGCTCACTGTGTACTGGGGCAGCACCTGGGTGGCCCGGGCACAGCGCCGGCCACAGGAAGAACTGCAGAGGCTACAGGAATAGGCTGTGTTGGCTTTGAAGCAAAGGGCCTGGTGCGGGGCAGAGGGACGTGTGTGTAGTCAGGGCTCAGCAGGACACTGCGGTCAGCCCAGAAGAGAGAGGTGTCAGAAAGCAAGACAAGACCAGAGTACCTCACGCCAACACACACAGGACTTCTACAGGTCCCAGTTCACCCACAGGCTCTTTGTTCAGACGACCTCAGTTCAAGGCCAGAGGCTGCCTTCTCATGACCCTGGGCACAGCTGCCCGCTCACACTGTCCCAAGCCTCACACTTTCATCTGAACACAAGAACGCTGGCTCTACTTCATAGGACAGCCAAATGGTGCCAAAACCCCGGAGGCGGGGGCGCCCTAGGGCCACCGTATCCCACCCCCGCCCGAGGAGGGGGTGGCACCATGGGTCCAGGCAGGGAGGGAGGCAACAGCTGTGGCAGAGAAGCTGACTGGACTGCCCAGGCGCCAAATGCTGGTCATCACAGGCTTTGGAGCCACACTGCAGGGTGGCAACGGACAGCAATGGGAGCTCTAGGCCATGTGGGTGGACAGACCCATCAGGCGTGGGCATGTGAACTCTGCAGACGGGCCCCAACTGGAACATGCTCTGCAAAGCCGCAGAGGCTACAAACAGGCAAACCATGTGCAGTGCTTCAGAGGCGCATGAGGGCCCGGGCCGGGGCAGGGGCCAGGCAGGGCCTGGTTGTGCGGCGCTGGCGAGGCGGTGTTTGAGAGCTGGGGTTCTCCCCGGCTGAGAGGGACTGAGAAGGAGCCTAAATGGGAGCCATGGATGTGAGCAGCTTCTAAGCCACGGCAGACCACAGACGGCAAGCTGTACCCGGGAGGTGAGCAGCAGAAGCCCACAGCAGAAGAGGTTATGGTGCGTGTGACTGGGTGTGGGGAGGAAGAGGAATGGCCGCTCTGTGGACCAGGGGCAGGCGGACGGCCACCGCTGTGAGCACGGGTCCCCACCGAGGATCCCACATTCCATCGCACTGAGTGGAAACACGCTTCCTCAGCCCGCAGGAGGCCGTGGCGCCCTCTCTGTGCAGCACAGGACACACTCTGCACCCGCTCTGGGGATGCGCAGACTCACACACAGGCTGCTCTAGATGCAGGGTTTGTTTGGCTTCCTTCCAGCTTAATAGCTTAACAAACACCAATATTTGAGATTCCTACTGCCAGACAAGCTCGTGGAATCAGACGCAGCACCCCCACTGGCTCAGCACTGCTGGCATCTGAGCATGTGCGGCGAGACCCGGCCTGCCGTGCTGTGCGGCACGCGCCTCCCCCCGCCCTCTGACATCCTTGGAAGCCCGGTGTGGCCCACCTTTGCTGTGCTTTCCCAGAGGCCTCTTGGGCAGCGAATCCTCCGTGGAATGTGCTGATGTGTGCAGGGCGTTCTGCAGACTGTTACTGTGGACTGGGGTCTCAGCTCTGGGAGCAATCTGAAGGGACAAAACAATCATTTTATTCCCCTCCGCTTACTGGTACCGTCACCACTTGACTTCTACGGTCCCTCCAAATCCACAGACAGCCCAGGGAACTCTAACTTGCCGTGGGAGCATCCGTGGGGTCAGTGACCACTAGACCACAGGGTGCTGCTAGCCACCTGGCCACAAGTTACATACCTCCAGGAGGCAAAATCTTTGTATATTTCTTCACAATAATGCTTCCCTACAAAGCAAATTACACCATAGGATGCAATGTCGGTACATCTAAATACGCCATAAAATGGTCTACAAGAGCGCAGAGGAACACACAGCCAGGCCGACCTGGTAGCGTGTGAACAGCATGGTCTAGAGTCATCAGTACACACTTCTAGGAATTCATCTCAAGCCCTTACACAGAGAAAGAAACTTAGTGAGGTAGAACACTCACTCAGTACCTCAAACATGGAACATCTCCTAACTCCCTCCTCAAAGACCCAACCAAGTCAACTGCAGGGCCACACAGAGAATCAGTTACCGCTCCCCAGTAACTACACTATGCACCAACTGTATGAAAATACATGGTAGCCATAGGTGCCATCCCTGCCCCCTTTCCCTTCCCTGGAGTTTACGGAAAATGTCTTTGAATGAACTGAGTGAGAGCCAAGTGCTGGCAGCTCATGTTGTAACCCTTGCCACTCAGGAGGCTGAGATCTGGCGGCCCGAGGCTGGAAGCAGCCCAGGCAGAAAAGTCCACAGGATTCCAGCTCCAATTAGCCTGGAGGCATGACGCAAGTAGTAGAGCACTAGCTGAGAGAAAGCAGAATGAGCGCAACGTTCTGAATTCATGCAAGCCTAGCCCACTTTCAACCAGCTCCTAACCCCAGCTCTGCAAAAAGGGAGAGACTTTTCTGGGCAGGTAGGGGGAAGGTTGTGGGAAGTTCCACTCTCCCTCTTGTCAGTCTTTGGAAATTTCATAGTCTAAATAGATTGCATTCAGAATAAAAACTAGCAATGTTCGCCACTTCAGTTTTGCTGTTAGCCAACCACACTAGAGAAAGGCCCGAGGTCTCGCAGCTCCACAGGGAGGTTTGGCTATTGAACACCGAGAAACACTACACGAGGAGGTCCCAGTTCAGATGTGAACAGCACTTGAGTGGTAAAAGGAACTGTTAAATCCAAGGGCAAAAAAATGAGATCCTATTTGAAAAATAAAGCAATAAGGGTGGAGCATGGCTTAGTGCAGTGCCAAGTTCAAACACAGCACCTCCCAAAACTCAACGGTTAATCGCCAATTTTCTAACTGAACTAAACGGAGCCATCTACACCTTGAATTTAACAGTTCCTTTCACCATCCAACTGCTAGGGTTTTGTGGGGGTTTTTGGCCAGTTCTGGCACTTGAACTCAGGGCCTGAACACTGTCCCTGAGCTTCTTTTGTTCAAGGCTAGCAATGTACCACTTGAGCCACAGCACCATTCTGGCTTTTTCTAAGCCAGCCCAGCCAGGCTAGCTTCAAACCGTGATCCTCAGATCTCAGCCTCCTAAGTAGCTGGGATTACAGGTGTGAGCCACTGGTACCCAGTGTGGAGTTTTGGGTTTTTTTAATCCTCATGAAGCTACAGCAAGAATGGGAATAGGGAGTAAAGGAACCCTATTATAACAGCTGCTGAGAATATGAACTAGTGCAACCACTTTAAAAGGCACTTTGGAGGTTCTTCAAAAAACTAAACATAGGCTGGGCAGCGCTGGTGGCTCATGCCTGTCACCCTAGCTACTCAGGAGGCTGAGATCTGAGGGTCAAGGTTCAAAGAAAGTCAATGAGACTCTTACCTCCAATAAACCGCCAGAAAACTAGAAGTGGTGCTATGGCTCAAGTGGTAGAGTGCTAACCTTGAGCTGAAGCGCTGAAGGATAGTGCCCAGGCTCAGAGTTCAAGCCCCATGACAGACAAAAACAAAAACAAACAAACAAACAAACAGAAACTAAGCAAAGAACCACATATGATCCAAAAATACCACTCTTGGGCATTTATCCAAGATTATAGTCAGGATACTGTAAAGATACTTGTATGCTATGTTCATTCCTGTGCTATTCACCATAGGCAAGTTATGGAAACAGCCCAGATGCCCTACAATGATGAATGGAGAAAGTGGGATATGAGCCAGGTGCTGAGACCTAAGACCTCAAGTTTGAAGCCAGCTTGGACAGGAAAGTCTGTGAAACTCTTATCTCCAATTAAGCACCAACAAGCTGGAAATGGAGCCATGCTCAAGTGGTAGAGCGCTAGCCTTGAGCAAAAAGGATCTGGTACAGTGCCCAGGCCCTGAGTTCAAGCCCCAGGTGCAGAACAACAGAGAGCAAAACAGAAAAAGAAAATGCTATATACGCACAATGGAATTTTACTCATCCATCAGAAAAAATAATATGTCATTTTCAGGGAAATGGATTAACCTAGAAAAAAATTATGTTAAGTGAAATAAGTCAGGTTCAAAGACAAAAGGCACGTGTTTTTTTTCTCATTTTTGGAAATTAGATCTAAATTACGTGAAAACCTACGAGTTATATGCATATGTACATAATTTGACTAAAATATGGTACATGAGAAAGGGATTAACTTCCCCCTTATCAACTATAAATTGATCAACGGGGGCTGGGAAGGTGGCTCAGTGGTAGAGCACTTGCCTTGCATACATGAGGCCCTGGATTCCATTCCTCAGCACCACATAAGCAAAAAGAAAAAAGCCGGAAGTGGTGCTGTGGCTCAAGTGGTAGAGCGCTAGCCTTGAGCTGAAGAGCTGAGGGACAGCGCGCAGGCCCAGAGTTCAGGCCCCACAACTGGACCCCCCCAAAAAAAAAATTAAAAAAAGTTGATCAACTGACAGTTTAACAAAACAAATACCAGGAAGGTAAAACATGGGGGAGGGGTGTTCAAGAAGAGGGAAAGCAGGAGAGGAAGAGTGTGTGAATACAATCGTGTGGGGCAGAGACAGAAAATGAAGGGAGGAGTACACTGACCAAGATACACTGCACCCCTGAACTGACATGTCAAACCCCTTTGTACAACTACGTAAAGATCTAAAGCGGTAAGGTAGTAGAAGCCTTTCAATCACACCAAGCCAGCATCAGGGGCCCTGGGTCCCAGCTCACAATGCTCTAGACACCCTGACCTACTCTGAGGTAGAATCAAAACGGCAGGCCACAGGCTCTCTTGACCAGGAGGCCAGCATGACAGCTGGTGGGGAAGCTCCTGGCATGCCCCGCCCCCAGCACAGAGGAAAAGCAGCTCCCAATCCCAGGTCGCAGGGGCAAAGCCAGGCGAAGGTGCACTCTGACCAGACCCACAGCAGGACTGGCCCCTGGCCCCAAGCCCCTCTCCACAGAGGAGCCCCAAGGCTCCAAGGAGGGGACATTCACCAGTGTCCACATACCCAGTCAGGAGTTCTGGAAGTGGGCAGTAACTCATCTTGCTCTTACTCGCTTTCTCCCTCTTTCCTCCCCCCCGCCCCCGCCACTCAGTCCCGGGGCCTGGGTACTGTCCCTGATCCTCTCTGTGCTCAAGGCAAGTGCTCTCTATCACTTCAGCCACAGCACCACTTCCAGATTTTTCTGAGTAGTTTATTGAAGAGTCTCAAAGGGGCTGGGAAGGTAGCTCAGCGGTAGAGTGCATGCCTTGCAAGCATGAGGCCCTGGGTTCGATTCCTCAGCACCACATAAACAGAAAAAGCCAGAAGTGGCACTGTGGCTCCAGTGGTAGAGCGCTAGCCTTGAGCTGAAGAGCTGAGGGACAGCGTCCAGACACAGAGTTCAGACCCCATGACCGGCAAAAAAAAAAGTCTCAAGGACTTTCATGCCCAGGCTGGCTTCGAATGGTGATCCTCAGATCTCAGCCTCCTGGATAGATAGGATTACAGGCGTGAGCCACCTGTGCCCTGTATTTCTTGTTTTCTTCGTGTGACTTAATTGGTGGCCAGACTGGACACAAGGTGCACCTAAGTGCAGGCTTGGAAAGGTCTTGCTGGTCCCAGGGAGGACCACAGGCCTGGAAGACTACAGGAAGAACTTCCTACACACAGACAGGAAGGGCTGCAGGCTACAGACCCAAGCCACAGCTCTGTGCCCAGGGAAAAGGCAAGTTCCCCAACTGAAACACACGCGCAGCATCCAACACACAGGCAGAAAGAAAAGGCTCTAGAATTGTAACTCTAAAACGATGCACTTGCTTTCTTCAGTACTGTCTCCCAAAGCAATTCTCTTGGTCTCCCAAATGTTCACTTTTTCCAGGCAGCCTTTATCTCCACTCTGCTCCTTGTTTACATTCGAAGCTGCCTCCCGGGAGCTTCCCAGAAATGCTGTTTTGGGTTATTTTTGGTCAGGGAAATTGGTCCACGTGACTCAGATGCTCTGACTCACGCTCACCGCAGAGCTCGCTCCCGACACTGACTGACTGAGAGGAGCCAGGCCCATCAGGACCAAAAGTCGCCTTCCGCAGCTGCGCACCAGAGGACAGGCCAGCGGAGGCGGCCCACCCCCTGGGCTTCCCCGGCTCCTTCACTCTCTCCTGCGGCTCCTTGCCTTCTTCCCAGGTGAACATCAGATTCTCTGCTTGCCACTAGCTGCCCTTCGCCTGCATGGCCAGCTCGGACGTGTCCTCCTCTCCACACAACTGCCACCATTGCAGCGAGACTTCTCCATGCTCAACAGCGCTTTTTTTTGGGGGGGGTGGGGGTAGGGGTTGTTGTTTCCTATTCACAGCAGACTCTCCTGCTCTTAGAACAATGCCGGCCACATGCTGGCATGAAGGGATGTGTACAATAAAGAGCAATCCAACTTACATGGCACATCCGATGAGTACAAGTAAACTTCCTGCAAATCAATCCGGGCTGACACAGTGCTGGCCTGCCAGAGCTGCACTGCTCGGGAACGTGGAGTCCGGGGAGGGAGGCCTGAGCCCCAGGGCCCCGCCTGCTGCCCCCACCAAAGCTCCCTTCCGTCCCTGCTGATGCACAACTGGGGTGC